CACTCCTAGTGATGGAGTCTTGCTCCCCTTTCAGATGGGTAATCACCTAGTTGTGAGTTGGAAAACCACCTACCCTTTGGTGGAGAGTTTGCAAAGCCTTCTTTTCCCTTGTCGGTGCATTCTTTATTCTGTGTAAGGAAGTAGGGTCTGCAAATCCCATCCTGTCTTCATAGTGAGCTGAATCACATACAGCCCGGTATTTTCTTTGACGTTAAAATAAACCCTGAAGACCTGCAGGTTTTGGTGGGGTCCTGCTTATGGAGAGGTTCTGCAGAGTGGGAAGGGGGAGGCATCAGCCCTTGTCACCAAGCCCCTCGGAGCAGCCTTCCCGCTGGCTTGCACGGTGTTTGCTGAAAGTCCTGGAGCACTAGGGAGACCAGAACAGCAGGGGCACGTCTTCAGGTGTCACCAGATCTGTCTGCTTCATGGGGCAGGTGGACAGGTGGGTGATGCCCCTGCTAAAAGTTTGGAATGCTCCGAATTAGGTCTTGCTGGGGCCCCAGTGCAGTAAATATCCCTTCTGTTTCACTGAAACTGCTGAGAGGCTATTTGTTCTGGCCGATGCAGCCCTAGAGCTTGGAAAAAATGATCTGGGTGCAGGGACGTTGGGCTGCTCGGCTTCTTCCCTCTTCCCACCGTGGGCAGTTGGGGCTGCCTTACTTTCAGTTTGCTGTGTGTCTGAGCGAGCTGGAGAGGACTCCGGCGATCCAATCTCTTAGGCTTTGGACAGGAAGGAAGGAGAGCAAATATTATAGAGTGACGGCCCATGGCAAGAGAAGAATCCTAGCACTGCCCGATGTAAGCCCATCCCTGAGCCGAGAAGGGGCACAGGGAGGGGAGAGGGGCTGACGCGCGCTCGCAGGGCCAGGGTCCGTCCCTTCCTTTCCGTCCTCACCAGGCCTGTGGTTGGTGCAGCAGGACAATAATTGGGAGAAGACTCTGTTGACCCTAACTCTTGAATCTTGCGCTGCTCTGCTCTGGCCTTCCGTGGTCCCTGCTGCTAAACCCGCCCTACTTTTTGGCTTTATAACTTTCTTTTCTTCTGGAAGCCCCTTCTCTGCCCTGACCCCCAGCGACTGAAGCACTTGCAGGGGGTGGAAGGCTGAGTTGGGCTCTCTCTCCTGCTGCTGGGGCCGCACTCTTGACACTGCCCAGTGTGGGCAAAAGGCTTTCAGCTTCGGACCTGTGATGTACCTTTCCGCCCCTGGAGGCCGGCCAGCTGAGATAACGAGAGTGGGAAGCGAGGTCCCTTCTCCTTCCGCTCTTGAAAAACACAGTAGTTAAAGTGCGGAGGCTGGGGCTTGCGGTCCCATTGGCGGGGACCCCCATCTGGCCGTCCACTTACAGAGTGGCCCCACTGCTGTGATTTTCCCATGGGCAGAGCAGGAGGTGGCTCCAGGATCCCTTCCCTGGAACCAGCTCACCCGCCTGGTTCTGTTAACTTTCAGGGTGGCCTGGCCGAGATGGAGACTGGATTTTTGATGGAACTCTTGGGTTTCTGTTTTAACCTCTTAGAGAATTTTAGAGATGAGGAATATGATGGTTTGGACTCAAGGAAATAGGATGGCCAGTGGATGCCTTTCCCTGGGAGGGATCCCAGTGTTACCGCCTGGCCGCTGGGATTTGCTTGTTGATATCTGAGGGGTAGAGATGGCGAGGCAGCTGCCTGCCTTGTATTAAGCAGCTTTGAGGTAGCTGTGGGAATCCTATACCACTTGTTGGACACTACACACACACACACACACACACACACACACACACACACACACCCATCTTAACATCAGCATTTCCCCAGTGCTTAGTCTTTTCCAGACCTCCTGGTAAGCTCTTTTCACACATTATTTCATTTAACCCGCACGGCAGCCTTTGAAGTAAGTAGAACGATTCTCTCCATTTTGCAAATGAGTGTGAAATGGGCTCAGAAAAGCGTAGTAGGATCTGTCTGACCCCTAAACCTGTGCCTCTTCACTTCACTCCAGCACATCGATCGGTAACTGAAATCAGCACACCCGTTTCCCTGTCACCTTCTTGCAAGAGTTTCGTCAAATGCACTCAACAACCATCGCTGTCACTTGCACATCCCCTTTGCCACACGCAGCCCCTCCTCCTTCCCTACCTCCCTCCAGAGACCAGAGCATCTGCCTTTAGACAGACTTGCTTAGGTCGTTTAGATGTTCCCCCAGCACTTTGCCAAAGGCTGGTTTATGGGAGAAAAATGGATGCTTCCTCTGCATTCTCCTGCTGCCAGTGTTTTCGTGGGTGAGACAGTCAGGTTTTAAATGACAATCATAGCCCTGGGGCTGCTCCCGTGCGGCTCCCATTAGGAAGCCGGACAGTGAAGCTGAATTCATCCAGCCTTCTAACCCCGGGGGACTTTCACATTCTGAAAGTTGGAGATCTCAGTTTTTATAGGCTATTTATAAACCCACGGTG